GTCATCAAGGTTGTTGCCTTTGTCACTGCGCAAGCGCGACTTGATGGCCGGTTTGGAGACTGATCTCTCCACGCAGGCCAACTCTTTGGCTAGGAACTACGCCCTTCATGCCGATTCATCCCTCACATTTTGCCACTGTTCCCTCGATTCCGCCATCCACTGGTGCCTCCCTCCTCCCTCGAATCTCGACCAACATAACGAGCGTGAACTCGAGAGCGACCCTGGGAATACTCGACACGGATGTGCAGGTCACTCGGACGTTGTGTTAGTGAACACTCTGGACCGACGCTGGCGCGGGCAAAAGCAAGTGCTTGATCTTGACAGCTGTGGGGGTACGAAACAAAACTTTTGTGCACTCGCTGCTCGATGATACTCGTCTCAAGACGGTTACAGCTGCACTGACATGAATCTCTGGAACTTTTTTCGGGCCATCCCATCCACCTACCTAGATAGCTAGCGATAAGCCGGATATATTGCTATCAGCCCGACAGCGGGCGTGCCAGCTGCATGTCCAGATTGCCAAGCGGGCAGGCCAAGGCTCCTCCGTCCGCAGTCTTCACTTCCATCCGCACCTGATCGATCATATACGACAGGTAGGACCTGGGTTACGGTATTCGTGTTGCTTCGTGTCGTGCGTCTCCTTACTCCCGCCAATCACGAGAACATCACTGTCAAGTGCTGGAATTATATCGACTGATGATGCAGACTGGCCACCCTGTCCATGGACAGCGTCACGCAAAATCCGTCCATACCGACGCTCATACGCAGGACCAGCCGACGTAGCTCTCGCCCGGGCCTTTCGACCTCCGATATTCATGACCGAGAAGATTGTGATTATGCGGGAAACCCTTGCAACCACCAGATCCGGTCTCATGCTTAGGGGGCAACAGCCCTCGAAGACTAGAAGCGGCTCGGCCACACAGCGCAAACCAGACATGGACGGACACCTACGTACACAGCAGGATTCTAGCACGGCACAGAGAGGTGAGTTAACACTCACGGGCATTGTAGCATATCGTGGTCCATGGTAGCATATCTTAGACTCAACAGTGGCTTTGTCAGTAAGCTCGTATGCAGCCTGGGTAGTTGGCAATACCGACGGGCGCAGGCGATCCATATTATGATAGGCCGTTCTCGCATGCGATATGTCAAGCGCCGTGGTCCATTATATAAGGCACACTGCGCGGTCGGGAACAAGAACCCTGCGGTTTTCCTAGCCAGGCACCTGAGGCTAGCTACTATGAGCCCGTGACTTGGGGTTTGAGCAAACCTCACCAGCGTAACTTTGAGCTGCAACTATGCCCTTCGATAGTTCTATGTCAGACAAGAAACAGCTGATAGCGGTTGCACGCACATGGCCCAAGACATCACATTCGCACGTCGTCTAGTCCGACACCAGCGCAGCGTGACTGTCACTGTGCATCGTATACAGTTGCAGCAATGACCGAGACGTCGAATGACATACTCATTTCAATTGCGAATGTCTTGTTTTAAGGTAAAACGCTAGAGAGACCCAGTCGCTGGGACCCAGCCTCGCCAAACCTCCTGGGTACTCGAGAAACTCTTCAAGCTGCTGCCTGGCCGGGCTTGCGCCCCACGATGTAACGAACCTTCATGTACGAGTGTATAGCCGGAGACTTGATTTCCTTGCGCAACTGTGCTAGGAACAGCTGGTACGCCTCCACGTCGTCGCCGAATATTTGCTTCCAGATGAACATTGTGTAGCCTGCGTTGCGTGCGCTTTCTCAGCATGTTTTTGACGGACCGCCATGAAGATTTTCGGAGGAAACGGGAAGCAAGACTGACCTTCGATATCATTGAGCAGGGTGAGCAGCACAAACTTGCCAACTTCTGAGAGCCTGGGGTCCTTGGCCCAGCCGCCTACAGGTACCTTGAAGTTGTACTCCTTGAGCTCCTCAAAGCCGGCGGCTTCCATGCCCTTGCGTTGCAGGTCCTGTTCGATCACGGTGAACGAGTTGCCTATAACCTTGCCGGCGGCCCTGAACATCTTGGTCCACTGGGTCGTCATGACGGAGTCCTTGGGGACGGTACCGTCATCGCTCAAGATCTCGACGTCGCACTCGCAGGTTTGCACGTAGCCCCCAGGTGCGAGCACGCCGTAGGCCTTGGCGAAGAGATCGTTCCAGTTAGGCACCGCGCCGAAGAGGAAGCGCATGTGCACAAAATCGAACGTGCCGGAATCCCATGTCCAGGCGTCGAGGAAGTCGTCAATCTCGAAGCGAACATTGGGCGGCACCCAGGAGGGCTGGATGGGCGACAGGTCGGTCCCTATAATATCGGCGTCTGGGTACACATCTGCAAAGTCACTTTTTGATGATGCCTGTTGTCAGTAAAGTGTATGATGGTGACGTTGCTGCTGTGGAGACCCTACATTGCCCAGATACCTGCAGATAGTTGTTAGCGCACTCGCCAATCTTGTGGGAAGGAAGAGTTGTTCAAGATACACACCTGTTCCTGTGCCCACGTCAAGAACTTTCTGTTGTTGTTGGAGGTTAGCGGCTGCAGCTAGAACCGAGGCACGGCGGGCTTGGCCAAGTGAGCATACCTTGAAATCTTGCTTGGGCACGAGATGGAGCTTGCCGTCGAGCAGAATGGTGAGATAGTGGTGGGTGATGTCGACCGAGGTCTGCTGCTGGTCGTCGTTGGGAGTAAAGTACTCTACATTCTGGCGCTCGCTGTGGAAGGTGCGGCCTTGGATGGTGCGATACTTGAGGATGCTCGAGGCAACCGAGTCGGTGCTGCTGGCGCTATTGCTCGCAAGACGCAAAGACGCAAAGGGTGAGCCACTGGCGAACATGTATGGGTATGGATCATGGGGGGACTAGTTACACGTCGTTGCCAAGAGCCGAGTCGGCATCGTCGTCAAAGTCGGGTTGCGCCTATGTCACTGGTCAGCTGCGCGTGTCTGGCTGCACGAAGTCGCAAAACTGCTCACGTCGGGGTTGGCGGCGATAGGGTCGGCAGACTGCACGTCGGGCTGCTGAGCAGGCTCCAGGGCTGGCTGTTCAGGCTGCTGTCTGGGCTGCTGTCTGGGCTGCTGTTCAGGCTCCTGGGTGGGCTGCCGGGCAGGCGGCGATGCAGGCTGCGGTGCAGGTTGCTGGTCGGCCATGACTTATCTTGACGAGGCAATCCTACGCTGGGGCGGGCTGGCGACAAGAGAAGAACGAGGAGCGGCGTGGTGGAGGATGGAGAAGGACACAGACACGGCAGCAGGCACGTTTGGTGATGGGGGCGGAGGCGGGTGCTGGAGGGGCGTCGTGTGTGCGCTACCCTCGACACTCGGTGCATCCGCATCGCATCGCATCCCAGTCCCAACACACCACCAACAACCCACCAGACCTTGGCCTCATCATGTCATTGGCTGCACCTCGCCATACCCCAACCCAGCCCTGCTCGCCATGCACTCGCCATGCACCCGCCGGATCAGCCCAACCCCCGCATCAAAAGCCTGATCATGCAGTTGCTGGCCCACGATCCACGCCGGCACTGTTGCCCGTCAGCAGCCGCCTCTCCGCAACCACTTTGAGTGACCTGGTGTACTTACAGTTCAGATATCCATGGAACGCCCGAGGGTGCTCGACATACAACACGTCCACTGCTACAGCACTCCCTTCTCTGTCTTCCCCCGGGCGTGGCTCGCCCATCTCGCGCTTGACCCGCTCAGCAAACAACAGCTGCTCCTGCACGAGGGGGTCAATGTGCGGCACCACGAGTAGCATCGACCGAGGGAGCGTCCCCAGCGGCGCCTGCAAGGGACTGAACCGCGGGTTCGTCCTGTTGGCGGCTCGAGCACGGCTCGCATAGGCGTCAAAAAGGGGATACAGCCACTCCGCCGGGTCTTTGCTCGCCCCTCGAGGTTTTGGCTTCTCGCCAGGAGACTGGTTCAGATCGAGCTATAGTATTCGCCCTCCCACCTTTAGTGAGCCTGCCACGCCGCAAACCTGCTGAGAACACGAAGCCAAGGGAATCGAATTACATACCACGGCATAGAAAAGGACGGCGCCCTTGAAGGCCGTGCCGGCAGGCCCGTGGCAGGCTTCCTGCTGCGCGGCCGCCAGCGCCAGGTTCCCGCCGGCCGACCACCCGCTCACCGTTAGCAGCTCCGGATCGGCGCCCCATCGGTCGGCCGCGTGCCGGTGCATATACCGCACAAACGCGTCGACGTCGTCCGCCGCCGCAGGGAAGGTGTGCCTCGGCGCGTAGCGGTACGTGGGGGACACGACGACGGCCCCGGTCTCATCGGCCACCCTCCTGCAAAAGGCGGCGCCTTCCTCGGGGTGTCCGCCGATAAAGGCACCGCCGTGTAGATCGAGATGGAGAGGCAGCAAGCCCTGCCGCCGTCCGGCAAGGTGACTGTTCTCGAGCGGCGGTCTTATGATCAAGGCAGCTGCCCCGTTGGGTCTATAGACCAGGACGCGCAGTGTGACACCCGTGTCAACGGTGATGCGCTCGACATTGAACGGCCGGCTTCGCGGCATCAGGTACGGGAGTGTGTGTAGGGCCGTAGTTAGCAAGACGAGTGGCTGCATGGCCAGCATCCGCCAGCGGTACTGCCAGGCTATGTCCCTGCCGAATAGGGCGTCGATGGACGGGCGGAACCATCGTGAGAGTTCTCGTGCGAGCGACAAGATCATGCTGGAGCTTAGGGAGACCTAGTTTGTACTTGGACTGTCTGGGTCATCACTGACCAGAGGCTGATTCATGGCTGACGTGCTGACGTGCTGATATGTTGTTGATGGAGTGGCATCACCGGACCCGAGTTCAGCCGTGCTTACATGCTCGGCCAAGGACGTGTAAGTAGCCTATTAATAGGCAAGCTTATTGTTACCCGAGACCGATCACTTTCGAGGTATTTGGGGATTCCTTCACATATCATTGCGCAGTCGTAGTGGGACTACGGAGGTTGAAGCGACAGAGTTGTCGACTCATGAAGCCGATCTATTTCACGATAAAGGCCTCTGATTCTTCCAATAGACAAAGTCTGCGTGGCGCAATGGTAGCGCGTTGGACTTCTAAACCACTCTACGCCGGTACAGGCTCGGCGAAGGTTAGGAGTTTATCCAAAGGTTGTGGGTTCGAGCCCCACCGTGGATGCAATAATTTTTGTGTCCTATTTTTTTTTTTTTTTTGCCGATTTGCCTGTTTCACGAGCGACGAATGGGAGTAATGTTTGGTCTAACGTGATAACTGAACATGACAAGAAAATCAGCCTTGGTCAGGAAGCCGTGCTTTAGCCGGCGTCAACTGCCGTGGTCTCGATTGACAGACAGTCCTATCGGGCGGCCAGCCACCTGCACGTGTGGTGCGTCCACGTAGCTTCTTTTCTCGTCGCGGCCGCCCGCACTGCAGCCAAGTGTTGGGGTTCCGCCGACCCTGCGTGCATAATCACGTGCTGGCAGGCCTGCGGAACGCTGCGCCTGCTAACGATTGCTACGGTATCTGGCCTAGTGGTGGTGGGCGTCGTGGACTCGGATCTACATGACTCTGACTGAGACTTTGGGGGCTTACTGCAGACATATCGTTATCGAGGTGCGCTGGGCTCTGCCGTAGGGTATGTTTGCATGTCTCGTCTGCTGCAGCCAGCATTCGAGTGCCAACGTTAGCCGAGCCTCTACTGGGTTGGTGGAATGTACTCGGTGCTGTCTCGGAAGCAATGACCACTCATGGCAGGCGAGCCAGATCTGCATAGCACTCGGTACAATCACATGCCATGGCTTGCGTGCTGCATCGATGACAACCACACTGGACACAGGACACCGGGCGGCTTCTAGTGCGGACCGTCCTCAACGTTCTGCACATGCGAGGCGACTCGGAGCCCCGGCCCCCTGTCCCCCGGCTGATTGTCGTGGCTGATGAGCAGGATCCAAGCTCAGACAGCTGTTCCGAAAGGCTACTGCCGAGTGGTGGTGCTGCAAGTGTCCCCGCGGCGGCTTGTTGCCGTCGTTCTGGGGGGAAAGGGCTGTGGTGGCCAGCTATCCCTCATCCCTTGGGCCGGACTGTTCTGCCGGGTGCTTGGTCCAGGTCGGGCTGGCACCCCGCGAGCGGTGAGGAGCACAGAGTGGCAGAGGAACGGCGGAGGGACAAAAAAGAGGGACAGAGAAACAGAGGGGTCCTTTTCCCCCCTGGCATCGGAAAAGTGGATTCGCAGATCGCAGGTTCCAGGCCTCCTCAACCGTCTTGCTGATCCGACAATCGAACACACGGGCATGCTCTGCCGCCGGGGGCTCAGCCACCTCGCCTTGTCTGGGCCGACGACTGCCACGGGCAGACATGTGAATGTCTGGAGCTGGAGGTGTTTCCGTAGCGTACATGGTAGATAGGCGGTGATGCGACCTGAGCAGTCGCTCAGTGTACCTGCTCAAGTGGGCGTGGTGCGCGGCTCTTCCCAGCAGACGTCAGGCCAAATGCCGGGCTAAACCCAAACCAGGCCGGGCTAGACCCAGACCGGGCCAGGCCAGGGGCACGTCGGGCGACACCGCCGATACGACAACAACCAGCCTGGTTTCACCCGCACAGCCTGCGACCAGGTACCCAGTCTAGCAGGCTCGATTTGTTGGGACGCGCTCCACCATGGCAGAAAAAAAGAGGATTGCCGACTGCAGCCCAGATAGGGTCCTCCATGGGCTTTCTGAGGGAGGGTTGGGAGGGTTGGAGGGGGGTGATTTTGGTCTCGCCGGGGCGCTCCTTCTGCTTGCGGGCGAGCACCTCAGCACGCCACGGCCTCGCAATAAAACGACGCTGCGGTCTGCTCCTTCCTCTGTCCCCGCCGCGTTCCTCTTCTTCTGGAAGCCCTCGCTACATCCTGCCATTCAGTGTTTGGCAGAAGAAAACACCAGCAGTCCTTCACCATGATTGCGACCACCCAGACCAAGACGGCCGTCACGGACCGCGGGACGGTAAGCCTCTCTTGACTCTTGGTGCCCTGCAACCACCTGCTGACTTTTTGTGTGTTTCTCGCCTTGCCAGACCCGTATGAGAGGCTCGTCAACAGCCCAGGAGTTCCCAGACATCCAGACCATCCGCGATGCCATCCCCAAGCACTGCTTTGAGCCCTCAACAGTCCGTTCCCTGAGCTATGTCGCCCGCGATGTAACCATGGCCTCGGCCCTCATCTGGGCGGCCGTCCGCTTCATCCCCCAGATCGAGGACTCGGTCCTGCGCTTCTCGGCCTGGATGGTCTACGGCCTTGTCCAGGGCATGGTCTGCACCGGCGTCTGGATCCTCGCCCACGAGTGCGGCCACGGCGCCTTCAGCAAGCACCAGACCCTCAACGACTTTGTCGGCTGGGTCCTGCACTCGAGTCTCGGCGTCCCCTACTTCTCATGGAAGTTCTCACACCACCGCCACCACCGCTTCACTGGCAACATGGAGAAGGACATGGTCTTTGTCCCCGCCGTCAAGACCGAGGAGCCCCCTAAGCGCCGCCTCGCCTCCTTCTACCTCGACCCTGAGATCCTCGAGGACGCCCCCATTGTCAGCCTCATCCAGCTCATTGCCCACCAGCTCGCCGGCTGGCAGATGTACATGCTCTTCAACGTCTCATCGGGCAAGGACAGCAAGCAGCGCAACCAGTCTGGCTGGCTGCGCGTCAGCCACTTTGAGCCCACCAGCGCCGTCTTCCGCCCTAGCGAGGCCTGGTACATCTTCCTCGCCGACGTCGGCCTCGCTCTCACCGGCGCCGCCATCTACTACGGCTCCACCCTTGTCGGCTGGCCCACCATGTTCTTTGTCTACTTTGTCCCCTACATGTGGTGGAACCACTGGCTCGTTGCCATCACCTACCTCCACCACACCCACCCGGAAGTCCACCACTACGAGGCGGACAGCTGGACCTACGTCAAGGGCGCCCTCGCCACCGTCGACCGCGACTTTGGCTGGATTGACAAGCACCTCTTCCAGTACGTTTTTGACATTCGCTCTGCCCATTTTTGACCAACAACGAATGACCTACTAACTCTCTCCACTGCAGCGGCATCATTGGCTTCCACGTCATTCACCACATCTTTGCCAAGATCCCCTTCTACTACGCCGAGGAGGCCACCGCGGCCATCCAGCCCGTCATTGGTAACCACTACCACCGTGCTCCCGGCTCCTTCCTCGGCGACCTCTGGCTCACTTTCACCAAGTGCCGCTTCGTCGAGAAGGACCCCGAGCACCCTGGCGCCATGCGCTGGGTCGCACCCCGCAAGGACCTTTAGATTTTCCTGGAGCAGAGACTAGAGACTTATGATCCATCGGTGCAGAAAGCTGCCGAGGATAGATGCGAGAACAAAAGGCGACCAACTCCCCCAGGCCCAGTAGATTTGTAACAGGCACTAGACCCTGCAGATTCTGGACGGTTAGATATGATTAGAAAAACCACTTGGCATGGGAGTGGATTTAGAAAGAGTCGACTCACGCGTTTTTAGGCCATCATGATAGACAATAGACAACGACTACAGATGATACTGTTGATGGATTTCTTGCTTCAAGTGATGATTCGTGACTTCTGACCAACTAGGCGAAGGTGTGGTGTATAGTCTCGCACAGCCTCAACCTGCACACGCGTGGATCCCCGGACCAAGGGCCGGCATCGGCGATCGGCATCGATCCCCACCACACCTGGCATGCTTCGACACTTGAGCCTCATCGCCGATGTGACTCGGGCTCTGGGCAACATGAGCATTTCCTCATCATTTCAAGCATGAGCCGAGATTTACTGGAAGACCTGCCAACGGCGGCGCCGGCCAGGGCAAAGTTGGCCCTGCGATTCTTCGATGTAAGTCCAACCAAGCACTTGCTGGCCCGCGTCTCCTCAAAACTGAAGCTTTTGTCTGACGAAAAAACAAGGTAGCAGTCACAGCCACGGCCAACGAGTTTGCTGGCATGTACCGCGGCAAGCAGTACCACGAGCCCGACCTCAATTCCGTCCTGGCCCGCGCCGCGGCCGCGGGCGTCGAGCGCGTGATGCTGACGGGCATGTCCCTGAGCGACGTCGACGTGCACGAGAAGCTCGCTGCCGCTGTCCCCGCTGGTCGACTGGATCAGCCGGTCCAGCAACAGCAGCAGTGCGGTGTCTACTACACGATCGGCGTGCACCCGTACCACGCGGCCGAGCCCGAGCAGGACCCGGGGTATCTCGGCAGACTCGGCGACGCCGTTGAGCGGGCACTACAGCAGCGGCAGCAGCAACAGCTAAAGCCCGGCGAGGACTTGACGGTGGCGTCGTCGTCACCATGCCTAGCGGCGTTCGGGGAGCTCGGGCTCGACTACGACCGACTCGACCGGTGCCCACGCGATACCCAGCTCCGGACGTTCCGCGCGCAGCTCGACCTGTATATCACGCGGGGCTTCGCGGCGACACTTCCACTGTTCCTGCACTGCCGCGCGGCGTTTGACGACTTTGTAGCCGTCATGCGCGAGTACATCCCGCAGCTCCCAGCACCTGCTGCTGAGGGGCGCCCGCGTCGTGTCGGCCTGGTGCACTCGTTCGTCGGGACGTCTGCGCAGATGCGCGTCCTCACGGCGGAGCTGGGTCTCGACGTGAGCGTCAACGGGTTCAGCTTCAAGGACCGCTCGAGCATCGAGATGGTGCGCGACGTGCCGCTCGAGCACCTGCAGATCGAGACGGACGCGCCCTGGGGTCTGATCCCGGGCAGCTCAGACGTGGCGAGGCGGTATCTCGCGCACGCGCCGGCGCCGCTGCACGCGAGCAAGAAGCGCGACAAGTTCGACCGGCGGGCCATGGTCAAGGAGCGGAATGAGAGCTGCTGTATCGATCGGGTCGCGTATGTGGTTGCTGGGATTAAAGGGTTGAACGTGGAGGAGGTCTGTGAGAGGGCGTGGGGGAATAGTATCTCGATGTTTGGCGGAGGGTGTGATGCTTGAACGTGGTCTCAGGCTTAGGGGTTCTTTCGTCGTTATGGGTAGATTAAATGGGGTTGATTGGGTCCTGGTTGGAGGTATCTTTTGCTGTAATTATCTCTCCATCATGCGTGCCATATCGGGACTCAGCACTTTGACAGGAAGCTATTTACTAGGTTGTCTAACTTGATGGACAGACCCGAGACCAGCTCCTTTCGAGCGCATACCAGCGGGCTGAATGGACCCGGAAG